ATTATTTGAAAGGACTTGAGCCAATATAGACAGGAACCTTTTTTGGACCCTGCCTTGGACTTGTCTTGTTCTCAATAGAGCACTGGATGGTTGAATTCAGGCTTAAAAAAGGCAATAACACACCTGATCCTTGAGAGGGCTTGAGGAGTTGGTGAAAATGACTGAGTCACTTGAAGTTGTTGCCACGCTTTTTGATTTGGCATCAAGGGGATCCCTTGTGGAATACAATGAAAGGCATTAGTAAAATCGTCAAAAACAAGCTGTACCATTGTAGTCTACCCCCAGTCAGGGGCTCACAGTGGGCTTTGTGATGTGGACTTCCAGGCTGGTGCACCATCATCAGACACAGCTGAGTCGGAGGACAGCTGAAACACAAAAATGTGAAAGTTTTTAACTTCTACATTGTATCATCTTTCATAGTAACTAAAGTGACCCATACTAAGTGAAAACATGATGAAAATAATTCATTTTCCAGTCTGACTGTTCTTAAATATCAGGGATCAAGTGTCATTCTTAAAATGACAGGTTAAAGCCTCTGGAAGTGGCTTGACATAGTAAAAATGTATAAATGATATCAAAGTTGAGTGTGTCGATAATTATCCAAAAAAGTTCATAACTATTTTAAAAATTGTTGGGCAGTAACTCATTATTAGTAATAATATTACTTTTCCCAGTAACCAGTAGTGTACATTAGTACTTCTGTTGTGGACACCTACTATTTGAATTCCAACAAGCCAATCACATCGTTGGATTACTTTCTGTAATCGAGATAAACCATGTTTGCTCTTTTATTTTGTAAAAGCCTCCACGATCATTCAATCTTACAATACAATTTACAACCTTAATAATGAGCACTTTAGTGCATAACATATGTTACTACTTACCTCTGTAGCCTCACTATCCATTTCATCATGATATACAGGCCTGGCTGCTTCCTCCTTAGTCTCCTTTGCAGCTGGCTCCTGATCACCAACCACGATGCTATGATATCATTTCATAAAACTTTTAATCAAATGATTTAAAATGCCAACTAATCAACCAGATTCATTAAAATGCAGTGTGGTGACTTACGAAGAAGCATTATTCGGTCCCAGGCTCGCTGGCCCCAAAGTCCCGTTCTTTTGCACGTTTTCATTGAGCTCGCTTACGTTCACTGGTTTGGTCACACTTTGCTGCTGAACTGGTGCAGTCTGTCAAGAAAAGCACAAATATTTACACTGCTATTGGAGCCTCCAAAAGGTGATGGCGGGAATTTTCTTTGCTTTACCTTGCATTTTTTCTGATCCACAGAGACAGGCTGAGATGTATTATGATATAATATTCTGTAGAGTCTACACACCCTTAGCTTTGGCACAGATATTATTGCTGCTAGATACATAGCTAGTATAGCTAGTATAGCTAGTTATAGCGGATTGTGACAGACTGCAGATGTGACTGTGGCTGTAGCCACGGCTGTGTTTTGGTTATTATGATTAAGGTTATTTTTGGGGGCTTCTTATGTCTTTATTCGTTAACAGGACACAGTAAAGCTCCCGTAGACATGTCCACGTCCAACCACAAATGCAGCCATGGGCCGAGCATCCACAGTCACAGTCAGGCAGAGCAGCTGTGCTCACAGTCAGAGCTCGGTGGAGGAACGAGTAATAAATGCATTTTGCGAGGCAACACAAAAGTAGTTCAGAAAAAGAAACTTTCATTGTGGCTTTGGTTGGCTCAGTACACCAGCTTAAAAAAAAGATGAATCTTACCACTGGTCCCGGATTTTCATTCTCCTTTAACCCCATCAGGGCAGTTTTATCTGCACTGTGCTTGGAGTCTGTATTCTTCCCCACACCAATGGGAATGGCTTGAACATTTGGCAGGGGCATCAAGGGTCTTCTGATGAGAGAAAGCAAACATGTACTAATGGCTGTACCCAGGTACTTCACTTTTTTTAAACAGGAGAATTATTTATCAAGTCTTTTGGGGGATCACAAATAGTCTCACACTTTCATTAACCCTGAAAATCATCTTCAAAAACCAAACAACATTTTAATAATTTGTTGAGAATCATTTTATTCAATGCTGTAAAAACTGACAAATCTTGTTCTTCAGATTTAAGATTTTATAGTGCAGAACTAGACTTCAATAATACTTTGATTTATTGTGTAGCTCCCCTCCCCCACGAAAAAAGGCAACTTGCAAATGGTGGACGATGGAAATTTCATCCTTCAGGGGGAAAAAAATCCGTCGAGATCCGTTTTTTTCCTGACTGAACCTGAACGCAGCATGAGACTCCCGCGGTAATTAAACTAAGAATTTAATTGTGTAGAACAACGCGGTAATATTTGGCAACAGAGTTGCCTTAATAGACGTGTCGCCCTGTATTCCAGTGTTATTTTGTGGCGCAAAGAGCTACATATTTAACTTCACTGGTTATTTAGTCGCAGAATACCTTTTCTTGAGTCCAGGTTCTTCGGTGAAAACTTCCTCATGTTTCCTCTCCGGTAGGGTTGTTCCTGGACACTCGATTGGGTTTTTATTCATGTCCATCTTGAATTGTAACTATTATTGTAATTAAACAAGGTCTACTTCTAACACAGCGCCACTTTTCTGTGTCCACAGTGATTTAAGGTCGGTGCACACTGGCGCCAAACCAGTGACCAACAACGAGCTCCTTCCACTTGTTTCCTTTTTTCTTTTTTCTTATCCAATAATATCCAGTATGTTTCGTCTTTTCTGATTTTAAAGGAGGATTGAAAACCAACTGACTGCCACCTACTGTACCGGAGTGTGTACCGTACTTAATGTTATATTCTATTAAATATGTTATAAACAACAACACAAATAGACAAAAACAAGTCATATATATAGTCATATCCACCTACCTTATGTACATAAAGAAACCTTAAACCTTTAACCATAAAATATTTATTTTCAGCTCCTTATGCAGCTACAAATGTTATTGTTTGTTTTTATATATATATAGTAACTGGGCACATATAAGATTATGTTATTGTTATCTTGTTCTGCTTATGCTATAAGAGTTTGTTTGTACATTGAGAATCCGAGGTATAAACCAGAGTCCAATTCCTTGTATAGTTGTGCACAGGTACTGGCCCCCTAAGGTGATTCTTCCCTGATCCTATTATGAAAATAAATAATAATACGCAACTATAGCTACAATCTATCAGATCGACAACACATATAAAAATACTTTATAATCCCAGTGGGGAAATAATTTTGTTACAAACTCCAGATTACAAACAACATATATTAAAACATATATATATAGTATAGAAAAATCAAATGTACCACTGTTTAATAATGTGCATAAAAGTGGCTAAAAATGATTGTCCATGTTTGAGTCCGAATTACAGAGGGGGTGTCTGACTCGCTGAAGGAGGCGTTTGTAGAGATTGATGACCCACAGGCAGGAATGATCTTCCTGTGGCGCTCTGTGGTGGGCATCCTGGCGTGAGAGGATGTCCTTCTGCTGAAGGCTGCTCTCTGCTGGCCAGTGTGTCGTAGAGAGGGTGGAGAACTATTGGAGCTGAAGCCTGGACAGCAATCCTCCTCCTCTGCCATAACGGTCGTCAGTGTCAGCTCCTCCCCCCACGAATCACGCCCGTCCCTGATCCAGTTTTGTTAAGTCTGGTTGGTGTCTGGCAGACCTTGCCAGCCCCAGCCTGCCCAGCATGTGACAGCGAAGAAGACGCACTGGACACAACAGAGCTCATAAAACATCCTCAGCATCCGTCCGACAGAGTTAAAAGGCCTCCAGCCTCCTTAGGAAACAGATAGGTCGTCTTTGGGCCCTTTTTGTAGAGCCGCCTCTGTGTTTTCTTGGTCCAGTCCAATATATTAAAAGTAACACCCCCCAGGTAACTTGATATTCCTCAAACAGTGGTCCACAGGGACGCCCTGGATGGAAACGGGGTCACCTGGTGATTTCGCCCCCCCTCAGATCCACTATGAGCTCCTTTGTCTTTGCAATTGAGCTGCAGATGAGTCACGCTCACGTCCAGTGCAAGCTGCCCACGCACAGTCCTGTATTCACGCCGATTCACCCCTTTCATTACAACGCAACTATTTCTGAGTCCATCAGAAAACTGTCTGAAGGTGGCAGGACTCGTTCGCAAATGTTGAAGTCTGCGGTAAGAGGGGTGAGAGGAAGGGAGAGAGGAAGTCCCCTGAGGGCCACAGTGTTGCTGACGCACCCCTGTCAACACACAGTTCGTAGGCGTACGTCACTGTGTCTGCCCATCTCGGTAAACAACAATTCCAGGACACGATGGGGGGACTCCCCTGCATCGCAGTCATCTTCTCACCCAGTAGAGCCGGATGGTTGATGTTGAAAGCACTGGAGAAGTCAAAGAACATGACTCTCACAGTGCTCGCCGGATCCTGTATCTTGTAGCCTTATTACATGCCCTTATTTTTCCGCTCATCCCTGCAAGCCCCGACCTCACTCATATGTCCTGTCGTGTAGGATTTAGTGGCATCTATTGTTGAAGTTGCAGATTGCAGTTAGCTGGACACTACTCATGTCTATGTTTGAGAACTGGCTGTGAAGTGTGTAGGAGAAACTAATGTGGCCGCAAAACTCACAAAAAACCTAAAAGACCCTATCTCCAGCAAGTATGTGGTTAGTCCATTCTGGGCTATTTTAAAAACATGGCAGTGTAATGAAAACACAATTCCTATATACAGTTGATTTTACACTAATGAAAACAAAAAGGGTTGAATATTATATTTGATTTCTGCCAGTAGATCCTCCTAAATATTACACACTGGAACTTTTGACATTTTATTCATTTCTTCTGGGACACTGATCACTATCGCTGTAAATGAGCCAGTGTTAGCCAAAAGGCTGATTTTTAAATAAAAGCAAGGGAAACATAAGGCAGCTGGGTAAAAAGCCAAGCAGAGTTTAATTCAATTTAAGAAAAAAAATCATTAAGGTAATCCACATTGTCTGACAGTATCAAATATATTCTTCATCTGTTTATCTGTTTACAGTCAGTCTTCGTCGCTCAGAAAACTACGGTTACATACGTAACCATCTGATTAATATTACAAGAAGATTGGGAGAAAAAAAGTTGTTTATCTTCAGACAGAATCTCTGATTTGTATTATAATAGGGGGCAGTACATTTGTCTTCAGACAGCAAAACAGCACAAGAACAGAACAAAATAAAGTTCAGATACAATCAACAGTTTGACATTAATGCTGCAATTTTCGTATATTGCACAAGGATCCTAATGTAACAGCCTCTCACATGGTTTAAATTATTAATCAATCCAAACAGAAAAAGTAAAATTATGAATGGCTATAATACTGTCTGCATGTACAGTATATTATGTGTCTGTGTGTATATTTACATTTAGCATGATGATCATTCCACCCCAGATAACCATTATTAACAGTCAGTACAAAAAAAGGGAACATTTTCAACTGAAAGCAACATGAGGCAGCTGGGTAAAAAGCTAAGTTTAATTCAACTTAAGAAAAAATAAAAACAATCTCGATGTTAATCCACATTGTATGACAGTACCAAATACATATTCTTCGTCTGTTTATCTAGTTACAGTAAGTAACTACAGTTACATACATAACCATCAGATTTACATTAACGTCATATGTTCCTGTCAAGCACAGTGTTTAATTATACATGTCTTTTATAACCCTTCTGCCCCATAATTAACATATTCAGTACACAATAAAGGCTGTTAATGTGACATAACTTTAAATACATTTAACCGTTTCCAGCATAGAATAAAAAATAAGTCTGTTCACACATTTCACCTCACATGATTATTTAGAACAAAGGCTGCTTTTTAAAATCACAATACAATTGATTTCATGTTTCATTCCCTTTTCCCCTTTTCATTATAAAAACACATAGTATTAGGTAACATTTATAAATTGTTCATTAATTGTATGTCCTCGAGCAAAACACACACCATCCATTGCCACAGGTGTGTGAGGCCTTGTGAAGAGCTTTGATGGACCTCAGGTTAAAGCGCTATAAGTACAGTATGTTAATAACAGTATATCAGATAATTTCATCACATCACAGGCATCAGAACAAACAGATCCCCATACGCTCTCACTACTTATCACAGTTCCTTGTGATAATCACATAGTTACATTCTCCTGACGCATTTTCTGTGTGTTGAACATCTGAGCCCACTTTTCCAGCTCTGCCTTCAGTTTGCTCGCTTCAGGTCGGTCTTTTGGCTTCTCACTCAGCATTGACTTAATGATTTGCTCCTGCAACAAAAAAAACAACCAAAAACTGCTACTGAGTCTTTATACCAACAGGAATAAATGCTGTTATAATGTTGCTGAAGCTTCACTCCACAGTATTTCCAACATATGCACTGGCACACGGTGGGAAATACTGTTTCATGTGATCAGTTAGGATAGATAGAATATGGTAATCTACCTCCTTGGCAAAGGTAAGTGAAAACTCTTTGGGGAACTTCTGACATCTGGCTTTATGCAAAAACTGGTGTTCATGCAGTGATAAAAGAATGAAAAAAACATGTTAGTTAATGTACCAATAATTCAAATCAAATATAATAGACACAGGTCTACATAAAGTGGTAACACTGCTGTGGCGAGTCTTTGTCAGACTTAAATAATAACACACAATGTTAGGTTCAGTTTATGAAAGACTCACATCTCCTCTTTCATGGCCAGTAGAAACTTTCCAAAGGAGTTCCAAGTATATCAACCCCAGAGGAAAAATGTCCACTTTTCGGTCGTAGTTCTCCTTGTTCTGTGATAGAAAATGAACACAGTATTGACAAAAGCTGCCTAATATTATCCTTTCATTTATCGTCATGATAAATTAACTAGTTATGCTCATGTGGTAAATTAAGTTTTAGCTTTCTGCTCCATTTTTACTGCTTAAATCAGCTATTAAGTTTTGAAATATTGTTACATAGCAGTTGAGCCTGAGCTTCAGGAAATCCATAATTATGGCCATTAGAAAAAACATTTGTTACCACAATAACATACAGAATTAAAAAAATCTCAATATCTCACTTGTTCAGGAGCCATGTAAAGTGGGGTTCCTCTGTTCACTGTTCTATCCATCAAAGCGTCATCATTATCTCTGGTGACAAGACCGAAATCCCCGATCTTCACAGCTCCATCCAGTCCAAACAGGATGTTGTCAGGCTTAGCATTGAAAACAAAAACAGGAATTGAAATAAATAAATGAATGTAGCTCCTCACTTGATGGGCATGTGAACTAGTGAACTTACGAAAAAGATTTTAAAAAGGGTATCTGTGTACCCGACACCAGCATCAAATCTAAACGGTCAGCATGATTACATCAATGATCAATGATCCGTCTCAGGTTGCTGATGGGGCCCCGTCAGGGTAAACCGGAGGACATAATGCTCACCTTAAGGTCCCTGTGGATGTGCTTCGTGGAGTGAATATATTCGACTCCACTCACTATTTGTTGAGCAATGCCTAGACTTTCTTCTCTCCTCTTGGAGTGTTGCAGAGACCGAGTGTTCTTCTCCTTAATCCACGCTCTGAGTGTTTTGGTGTCACACAACTCCATCTGAATATAGAGGTACTTAGAGGACGATGATGAATTATCTGTAGACCTAGAAAAGTAGAAAAATTATTTAATTACTCACCCTTAACTTGAAATTAAAAGTTAAGAGTGTATGGGACTTACTGGGATGAGGTGTAACTGTCAGCTGAATTGTCCCCTCTTGGTAAATTCTTGGTATCTTGGTATTCTGAATCCTCCATCCAAAATGTGTAGTATCTAACAATATTAGGGTGAAGGAGATCTGATAATGTCCCTACCTCTCGAAGACAATTCCTGACAGAAAAGGAGAACAAGTAAATGAATCAGTACACAAAGCACTTGCACAAACACCGCACACACTACAATGCACACTGGAACCTTACTACTGCATACTTACTCTTCACAGCGGACAATCTTTACAGCATAATCCTTTTTCAACAGTTTCTGTCTTACTTTGTAAACAACACCAAATGTTCCACTGCCCAGACGCTTCAGGGGATCAAAGTCTGACGTAAACCTGTCGAAATTAACATTTAGGCAAAAAGGCAAAAACAGAAGTGTCCTTTTGATTGTAAATAAATTATTGAGAAAGAGACTTAAGACCATATTATCAGCAAAAAACACACTGCAAATGAATATCGTTTTCATACCTTGACTGGGCTGGTGTCTGATTCTTAACTTTTCCCATATTATTGTTTTTGGCAGCAGACTAAGAGAATAAAAGAATAAAAAAGATTAAAATCGTTGTAGTTGTATCCTCTTTAACAACGTGGACATACAAGGTGTCATCTGTTACATCAAAACAGCCAAACAGTACATTGTTTTGTAGCGACTCCCCTCAAGAAGAAAATGTTCTCTTATAAGTTTACTACTGTTCTGTTGCTCTCTCTCTTTCTAAGCAGAAGATAAGACAACATTTTGATTTGCTTTAACTATCACAGATTTTAAAATTGTGGTAAAAAAAGTGCAGACCTGATCACTGGAGGAGTTTGATGAATCAGTGCCTATCCCTGAGCTAGTTGGCACGCTCTGTGACGATGAATGAGACTCCCTAGGAGAACATAACAAGAGTTAAGCATTTTCATTATCAAGCTGTACAATATGTTTAAATACTAGAGTCAATGAACAATAAAGCTGACAACCTGGATTGTGCATCATCTTCAGATTCATAGGACATCTACAATTTAAAAAAAAGTGGTTAATTGTTACAATGTTCCAAATAAAATTAAATAATAATAAATAATAATAATAAATATTATATTATATATATTATAATATTATTATTTAAATTAAATTATTTAATTTACCTGAGCCGCGGAGGGGTTTGATGTATCTGCGAACATTATTGAGCTACCTGTGCTCCCTGACATGCTTTGTGATGATGATTCATGGGACTCCCTAGAGGGAATACAATGAGAGACATGAGTACAGCTTTTGTCAGTATTTAACTCCACGGTTTGTTCTCCTATTGATCACAATAAATGCCTTACCGTGTAGGTGGTGTACCATCTTCGGACACTGTTGATCTGAAGGACACCTAAAATGCACAAAGAATGTGTTTGACACAATGTTAGACATAATTACTGAATGTAAAATTTCACCTTAGTGGAATTCAAAAGTAGCTGGGGTTTAGATCTGCTGCTACCTGTTAGTATGAGAAACAGGGACTGAACTTTACAGAGACAGAGACGGGCTCACTTTTTCTCAAAGAACACACTGAAGTTGAGAGACAGTAAGAGGTCTCACTCTGCCACAATTTCCAAGTACCATTAACGTCCCCCACACAGTCTTTGCCTACTTCTTCTTTGGGTTAGACTAAACATATTGCTCCTATTCTGATTGTTATTGATGTTCCTTTGACAGTTTGGTGGGATTGTGGCAGGACTACTGTGTTAGACTGCATTACTTTTGCTAGCAGTATCTAATAAACTAGTGAAAAGTGACTGCCTATTAGATGATTTAAAGTAGAACATATGAAATACCTTGCTGTCCCAGTCTGACTGCTCCTGAAGAGCAGACCAGGCCAACCGAGCTGCGTTTTGTTTGGCTTCCTTGATGCTCTGACCCTCACCCACAGGGTAGTCCTTATTGTTTATCACTAATTTGTAGAAAAATCTGTGTTGTGTTTTGAAAAGGAGGAAATACTTCAGATCATTACGTAAACGGTTTAATATAGTTTATTACTGAACATCAATCAAGAGTTAACATAGAGTGTCTGTAGTGTTTATTCAGGTTACAGAGGTTCAGGTTCATACTTACTGAAGGTTATGAGATGGACCGCATCTCCTCTCTTCCATAAATTTATGGGAGCTGCTTGTTTCCTGGCAGTAGTGGTTGACAATTCCTATGTAATTTGTCTCTGTAAAGCTGTTGTTGGAGCTCACACTGAGGCTTTTTGTCTTATTACTGAAAGAAACAAGTAACATTTCAACATGAAAAAAAACAAAACATGAAAATTAACTTATAGTAATAACTGTTAAGATTTACTCACCTGATATCAGAAAGATTTAATTCCTCCTTTTCTTTATTTGATGCATGGTTGGACTTCTCATCTGCAGTCTTGAAAATTAAAAAAAGGTACAATTTTAAGATGTGGCACGACACAATGGATTTTTAAGCCTAAGAAACTGTTGTATATTACTCACCTCTGCCATTTTACTGCCATGTATCACATCATATACAAGCTTGGCTGCTTCCTCCTTAGCTTCCCTCCTTGTTTCCCCAGTGACCACTGGATACTCCTTACCATCAACCACAAAGCTGCAGCATCTAATATCACAAAAACTTTAATTAATTTTATGCATTTTTAAAATCGTGACAAATTAGCTAAGAGTCTGGAGACTTACGGAGTAACATTGTTTGGTCCCAGAGACTCCACAGCCTTTATAGACACCCTATTCTTCTGACCATATTCATTGAGCCAGCATATGTAGTTGATGTCACTGGTACTTGTCTGATGAACTGGTGCAGCCGGAGGTTTTGCTGCATTTTCTGTCTGTCAAGATAATAACAAATAAATATTAAAGAGAGATAGAAGAAAGGAACGCTTTTTGTAGCAAACCTATTGTGCCCAAATGGGAAAAAGCTGAATATTTAGTTTAAGAATGAGCTGTATGGGGCGTCCTGGTAGCTCACCTGGTAGAGCTGGCACCCATTGCACCAAGGCTGAGCCCCTGTTGCAACGGTCTGTTCAACTCTGACCTGTGGCCCTTTGCTGCATGTCATGCCCTCTTTCTACCCCCTTTCCTGTCACTCTACCACCACCACCACAAAAAACGAATCTATAATCTGTAATTTTGTAATGAAATTAAATGTTTGATTACTGCAACTGTATTTTTAGTGTCTTGTAAACCCACGGGGGGTCGATCCAGTATCCTCCAGTGAAGCAAAGAGGAACTACAATCTTACTGAGTCCGCTGGGTTCTGATGTCCGTTCTCCAACAAGCATTTCAGGGCATTTTTAGCTGCACTTTGCTTGGCTTCCTTCTTGGTCTTCCCCACACCGTCAGGATAGACTTTACCATCTAAGACTGCCCTCTGGGTGAATCTGTAGAGCAATTATCACATTTTTATTATAACGTTACAGGAATGTTGATGGGAAATAATGTGGCTGGGGTTCATTTAATTACATGAATCTGTACACTACCACAGTCAGCCTCTAGGAGGCAATAATCATCCACTCTGTCTTACTGTGGGACTCCAGCAGGATATCCACACAGTAAAGATTGGTTCAGTTGTGATTACATCAATAGGGTGAAAATGGAACATTTATTACATACATACGTTTTGAGGAACTTGTATTTACTCCTGTAAACTTTATACATCTCCTATGACATTTACTTGACCACAACTGACTTTACAAATAAAGATTTTGCAAACCAAAGAGCATAGCTGATCCTAAGACAGCAAGCAGGCCATCTCAGCCATGTCATCTGCTGCAGTTAAAGGACTTTATCAACACACTTTGTTCTTTCAAAAAATCAGTATGGCCTTGCACAGGTCATGCTCCACCCATTCGCCTATCTCTGAAAAACTTACCTGAGAAAAATCTCTTCCTGCTGTGAATAGAAAGGTGTGACAGGTCCTTACTCTCATATACCTGCTGTGTTTTTCTGTGGGTATCACCTTGATATTGACCCACCACCCTATTAATAATTAACACTCTTACCTAAGAGTACTCCCAGTTTGAAGGAGCACGACTGTGGCAGGATACATATATATCAATACAAAGGTATGTGAAATCCACAGCTAACAGAAATGGATTAAACTCACACTTTATTATGTGCAGGTCCAACAGAGCCGAGGTCCTCATAGCACAGTACAGAGCGTCTTTTCTGTGCATACTCGTTTAATCTCGCTACGTGGTTTCCAGTTTCCATCATAAATGCAAAACTCTTTTTCTCTTTTCCCTTCACGTCTTCACTCTGCTGCTTGTCCCGTTTATCTGCGCACTGTTTCGATTCAGCTGATTTCAGAAACCTTTAAGTTTCTATTTCCGCAGATGAACGTCATTCACGGAGAGTCACGTGGTTTTATTTTGTGGGAAGTGAAACTGGGCACCAATTAATGTACTGTATTTATTTACTTATTGTAAACGACTGCTGAATATCAGAAATGTGTTGTTCATTATCAGTGACTACAGTTATTATTGTGGTATATATCTGTCCAGTGGTGCGCACACAATGTTTCAGGGTCGGGGCAAAATTGATAAAAGGGGCACTTTCTACACACAGGGGTTGGGAGGGTTACTTTAAAAATGTAATCTGATACAATTGGAGTCAGTAACCTAATCCCAGTATCACATTATTAAAGTAACGTAACTGTCCATTACTTTTGTACCACCTCAACACTAAATATGCAAATAAAGACAAGTAAGAAGGAAAATGTATAAGATTACTTTTTATCAAACAATACAAACTTAGAAAAGAAAACCAAACCTGCTCAGGGTATTTTTAAAGAAAAACTTGCTTTTCATTAAGCAAATTCAGGTACGAATATTATGGAATATAATGCTGGATAAATCTTTATTGATATTTAAAGATTTATTGAGTAAATAAAAAGGGGAATGGAGAACAAACAAAGGGGCGTGCAAGGACTCCGGCTGACAGAGAGAGCGTGAGGGTGGATCAGGTGCAACTGATTAATGTACTGTATTTATTTACTTATTGTAAACGACTGCTGAATATGTATTAATAAAAAAATGTGTGCTCTGCTCAGTATATTCTACTTCCTGGTTTATTGTCTTCACCCCAATGGAGTGCCAACAACACTGATTCACAGAGCACACAGATAGATAGATAGATAGATAGATGATGATTAGATAGATAATTACGATAGATACGAATAGAATAAGATAGATAGATACGATAAAAATAAATAGTAAATAGTCTTATCCATTGAACCTACTGGTGTATACTAACTGAGAGTAGTGTTCATTAACAAGCTGTAATCAAGTCCCCTTTATGTCTTACCTTTTAAGACTCAACAGTCAATCACTGGACATACAGTATTAGGAGCTGAACTATCTGAGATCCATCCTTTCTGTTGACGTTTCCTCAACATAGCTGTTGCCAACCCATTAAGGATTTCATTTTGTCCTCTTTCTTGTTCCTGACATTCCTGTACTGCATTTGTAGGCACAGTTCAGACTCGACCCATGGAAAGTGGATTCCTAAACCTCACTTTCACGGATAATCACAGATTGAATATGTTGTTTATATACACAAAACAGGCCATGGCCAAATCTACAAGTAAACACTAAAAACATTTGTGCACACTGTTTGGGGGTAAATTACTTGCTTATCTTGAATTTGACAAAAAATACTCACATGTTAGATCTAAGTCCCAAATACTAAATCTTCATATGTGAACATGGTCACATTTGGTACATAATGGTGATTTTCTGGAACCAGGTCACATTACACTCAGGTGATGAAAGTCCCATCAGACTCATTCTGATGTCAAAGCAAATAATCAGTAGACGACTCCACATCACCCAGCACATACTAAAGCCCACACACAGTATATAACATGACAAAACATAACAGAATAAGAACCATTACAGCCCAGTTTTATTTTCCACTTCAGTTTTTTCTTTAATAAGCAAAGGGTGTAAAGAATACATTATTTCAGTACCAGTTCACAAAGTAATAACTTAAGACATGATCATTTGTTAAAAGTGAATAATGTTCACATATAATAACAATTATGATACATTTACACATAAGTTTTGCCTATTGTTTGAGGATCCCCATGTAATAATAGATATATAGATATAATATATCATTCTATGAAATGCCTATTAAAACATTTTTTATATATTTTGTTGGGTTTGGTAACTTCCCTTATCTCAAACATTTCTGACAATGTTCAAACCCAAAGAAATCTGT